ATGACTTTGCGGGACTCCTGCCAGATGGTCTTGCAGTCCTCCTGCAGCTTGTAGAAACGTTCTCTTCGCCAGGAGCTGGACTTCACCTTTAGGAGCTGGCTGCCCTTGAGTAGGGCCTGTAGGTCCTTGTCATCTTGCAGGCCTAGGGGGTAACACTAGTAAGAGACCTCCTCTACCACTGCATCTGCTGCCTTCAGTTCCACACTGGGCATGCACATGTCTGGACCCTTGCAGAGCCCAGCTTTTGTGAGCCTCACCTTCAGCTCTCTGCATACTCCCCCTTCTGCCCACATTCCAGCCCACTCCCAGGGCCCTGCCTCCTCCAGGGAGTCTTCTCGGATCCCCAGCTGAGGTATCTATGCAAACGGCAGGACAACTGCCAACCCAGGACCACAGTTACCCCCTGTGACCTGCCCATCTGCAGCTGAATGGGCAAAGGCAGGGCAACTATTTGAGGATGCCCTGGCTGCTGGAGGATGAAGACTTTAGGAAACAGGCTCTAAAGGATGAGGTGGATCCTGCTTGGTCTCACCCAGGGGTCTGAAGGAAGCTGGGACTAAAAGATCGGGCAAAGCAGGAAGAAGAGCAGACGTGTGATGGTTTGTGTCTCAATATCCCAAGAGCAACTCTCGGGGGTTGCTTTTGGAAGGAAGCTGGTGTATTGGGGCCTACAGCTGACTTGCTGTAAGAAGGTGAGGTCTGGTCGGAAGAGGCAGGTCACGGGGGACACGACCTGCAAAGGTTTTCCTCCTCCCTGCGCCTCCCTTCCTTCTCCGCTTCCCATCGCCTGGGGCAAGTGGATTTTCCTCCACCACGCCCCTCGGCCGTGCTGTCTAGCCTTGCAGCCAGTGGACTATGAACTGAAACCTTTATAAACTGGGAACAAAAATAAACCTCTTCTTTAGTTTTGGGGTGTTGGGCACTGTGTCGCAGTAACGAGAACATGTCTAAGACAGACGGACGTGAGCCTCAGGCACTAAGGAGTAAACACCCTCTCAATCATTTGTGCCTAGGTTCCGGCATCCTTTCTGGATGGCTGTGTGACCTGAGTAAGTGACACTACGGGACAGGGCTTCTGCTTTCCTGTCCATAAAATGGGATAATAATAGCATTCATGTCAAAGGGGAGTTCTAAGTTTAAAGGAGATGCTGCACAGATCAGTGGAGGTCTGAAAGCAACAGCAGTTGTAGCTCTTGGTATCAGCACTGTGGTTGCTGTGGGACCCTCTGCTACCCCTGCCATCCCTCTTCCCGGCTTCCCCCATCCCTGACTGGAGTGTACCTGAGTAGGTCTCTGATCTTTGCTCTGCAGAGAACAGTGAGGCCATTGCAGCCTATATTGAGCCTTCTGGGACGCACCTCTCTCTTCCTACAACCGCCATCTCTAAGAGCCCTGGGTCTGGAACCCCTTAAGGCACAGTGAAGACTTTTTCGAAGCTGAGGCAGAGCTCACAGAGATGCCAGAACCCTGGCTGCTTGCCCCGCTCCAGCTCTTTTGCTGCACTCAGAGCTGCAGGCTGCTCTGCGGCTTAGGCTCCCAAAGATGTCCAGGCCCCGACAGGAGGCACAAAAGGGACACCACGCTTGACCCCTTAGGAGACATGGTCCTCAGCGGATACTACGCCAACTGTGATAAAGGAGACCTTCACCTGGCACCTTAATAATCCATCAATGTGATACAGAGATAGATGCATCTATAAGGGTGTGTGTGCTACCCTAGCCATGTATAGCCCACAGTCAGCTCTGTTCAGAGCCAACTGACCACCTCAACTCTATTCTCAAAACTGTGTAGCCAACCAGGGATCTCTGTCTTGCTGTTCCAGCCGAGTGCTGGCATCAGGGACCCAAGGGACCAGTCTGAGGGCTTATGCCCAGGCCTACACTGGGGAGCCCTAACAAAGTCATAGCTTTTTCCTTTTCTGAGCCCAGATTCACAACCTCTGATATCCTCTCTTATTTCATCCATTCTCCCTGCCCCCAGCTAGCCTGCTCCACAAATCTACAGGGCCCACAAGACCTTCTGGACCATGTCCCTGGGCCTCTGCCACTATATCTTCTCTGTCTTTCCTCATGTTCGTACTTTCAGTGAGGACTGAGACTCACGCCATCCACTGTCCTAGGGCTCTAGGCAATGTCTTTCCTCCTCTGTGCCTCTGTTCTCTCATCAGCCCTGGGGCGAGAACAGTCCTCGGAGGTCTGATGTGAGCTTCGGCATACCTTTGTCATACCTTCACCACAGATCTGTCTACCCACTTCCAGAAGACACTCTGCCTTAGCATGGGCATTTTCCCTTCAGCCCAAGGGGAGACATAGTAGAGAAAGGAGTTCACACAGAATGTTCCAAACTGTTGGCTGTGTCTGCAGGGCCTAGCACAACAGGGAGGGTAAGGGAGTTCCCGGGTTGCCAGGAGAGAGACCCACGTCTTGCCTCTGCTGGGAGATTCCACTGTCCTTTCTGTGGCTGAGGTACAACAGGGAGAAATATCCTACCATCTGCCAGCACCCCACCCCCTAAGCTGGCACACAGGGCAAGCCATGGTTGACAGGTCAGATGGGAATGGGGGAGGGTGTCAGGAAGTAGAGGGTGATCTCCACCCTCCTGTTCTGGAAAACACCATGAAGGGATGACATGCTCATCCTGTCGTGGAGCCAGGCTGTGACCATGTCTGTGGTCAGGCAGAGATAAGGCCCAGGCTGTCAGGGCTGCAGGAGGTAGACCTCAGTCCCAAGAGGGGATATCTAACCCCAGAAAGGTGACGGTCACTGCTCTCTGGGCCATTAGGAAACTTGGGCAGGTGCCTCCCTTTCTTAGCCTCAGAGGGGGCCCTTCTGTTTCCAAGGTCCCCAGCTGCCTACCCTTCTGCCCTCGCTCCCTGAGCATGCAGAGTCTGTGGGCCTCTGCATCCAGCCCCACTCACTCAGCTGCAGAACTCTCTCCTCTGTAGGGGCCTGGGAGGGGCTCTGAGCTCAGGGGCCCGGGATTGATGCTATGGCTTTGCCAACCTGCTCAGTTTAGCTGCCCAGGGAAGTGGCCAGGAGCAGGGCGTGGACAGTGCTTTGGGTGCCAGTGGGAAGCTAGAGGGTGTCAGGAGACCTTCCCATTATGCACCTGTCCCTAAGGTGATGCATACTGAGGATCACAGCAGTGCACAGCTACACTGGGGTACAGTCACACAGACACCCTGACGCATGCCACCATATACAATCCCAATGGCAGACACACTGCTGAAGAGACAATGAGCCACACTACACCCCCAAACTATACACTGTCACATGGATGTGTACAGTGTTACCCTTAGCCACACAACACACAGTGCTACAGCATCATTATTGTGATAATGATAACAGCAGCCACCATAATAATAGCTAATATTTGAATAAGATACTCTTCGTAGCACATATACTTAATTCTTGAACAACTCTATAAGGAAGGCAGAATCATCACCCCCATTTTACAGATGAGGAAACTGAGGCTAAAGGAAGTTGCATGGTGGAGTTAGGACTCAGAAAAAGGCTGCCTGCCCACAGGGTCAGGTCTATGAAATTTTACTTTATACAGCCACCACTCCAGGGACACCCTGCCACAGAGTAATAGCATAAAAAAATCCCATGTAACACAAATGTAACACAGAATGACAGGATAACTCAGTCAGTTTGGGTGGCCCACTGCCACATCAGTCATACAGTCACAGCTGCACAGAACCACACTGGATCACCTACCATCACACGGGGTTATGTGTAAATACCCTGGTGCCACAATGTCACGCACCTGGTTACACACCATTACACAGCAACACCACCACACAACAGCCCCGCAGGACGACATGCGCGACAGAATCAGTCAGCACTGGATTACCCACGGTCACACCTGTCACACACAAACATTTGCACAGTACCACACTGGGGCACACACAGCCCTGCAAATCACCTCATGGGGGTACACAGTCGTCCCAGTTACACTTTGGTCCACATGCCCAATGGTGCGTCACAAATTTGTTAGCAGATCTGGTTTGGGATGAGAAGGGGCGGTGAGCTTTGGATGGACTAGGGTAGATCAGGAGAAGGGGTAACCAGTCCCCCACTACCCTCCTCCACGTGCCACTGCTGCAAACGTAACCCCGAAGAAGGAAACAAGGGCTCCAAATCCAGCCAAAAGCAGCTGGCCCCCAGGACAAGTGCTCTGTGTCTTGCCCCAGCTGCCTTTCCAATCCTTGCAGCTCTCAGTGTTCCCCACGCCCCTTACCCAGCCTCTGCCCATTGAGCGCCGCCACCTTCAGGCTCTGCTCCTTCAGGTAAAGCTCCCTGGAGCGGCTCCGGCTCCGGCCCCCCAGGCACTGCATGGTGTTCCACAGCGCCTCTGCCACGTGAAGCAGGAACCAGCGCAGTCCTAGAAGCTTGCCTGGGTCAGGGGAAAATCTGGGAGAAAGGGGCGGGGCCAGCTCTAGGAGGCGGGGCCACCCGCGAGAGGAGGAGCCAGCTCTGGAAGGGCGGAGGCAGACCTGGGGGGTGGGGCGGACGCTCCCGGAGGGGTCAAGAGCCCAAAGCAGGCGGGAGCCGGTGGGAGTAGACCCCAGTAGGCAGGGCTAAGGACGGCCTGGGCTAAGGGGGCAGAGTGGGGCAAATCCATAACATAGGAAGTGTGAAAGCCGAGCGGGGAGGAGGAATCGGGCGAGGGAGGCGGAGTTCAGGCCAGGAGCCACAGCCCAGGACTAGACGTGGTGGCAGAGCACGTCCAGGAAGCAGATCCAGGCGGAGCCAGGGTTCGGGAGGCGAGACCCGGAGGATCCCGCGTTGGGAAGGCGTTGTCCCGTCAGGGAGGGAAGGAATCTCAGCTTTGGGGGCCGTGCGCCGCAGGGACAGAACCTAAAGCTAAGCGGGCAGACCCCACCACCGCCGAGACTGACCGAGGTCACCAGGGTTGGCGGGGGCCGCGGAAGGTGGAAGGAGGATAGAGCTGCGGAGGGAAGTTCCCGCTGAGCTGCAGACTTTAGCTGAAAATCGAATGGGGCGGGGCCAGGAAACAACTCGTCAAATATTTTAACGTCAGTTATTCAACGAATTCATTGTGACATAGCTTGCAATATTAGGCAAACCTGTTTTCTTTCCTCACTTTCCCCATTTTAGTGGAGTTAATCCCAGAGGTGTCCTCAGATGCAAATGGAAGTCTGGAGGAGGGGATTGCTGACCTTAAAAGAAGCTTATTAACTCAGGCTTGCCTTCATGAATATAGATGAGAACGCCGGTAACTTTGTACAAAACTGTGCTGCCAATGTGCTTGGGGTAACAGTGGGTCCTTTCAAGTACATTACAACTTCCCTTTCATTCACCCGGCAATTATTTATTGCGCTCCTACTGTGTGCCAAGGTCAGGGCACCACCCAGGGGCCTGACTCATTGCTCTCCTTTACTCTCTGCCTCTGAAGAGTTCCCCGATTGGCCTCACTGAAGCACAAACAATGAGTCACTAGCAAAGCCAGTTTTTGGAGCAGAAAAGCATGGCAATAATAACAAAAAACCGAAGTGCATAGTGACACGCCTAAGGTCACACCACGGAGTACAACTGGCGAGGTATGGTAAGTGTAGATGAGCTGAAATACGGACACAGAAAAGCAGTCCTTCCTTTGGAGTGGGAGGCACAGAGTGTAAGGGTGTCCTGTACTATAAGGAAACCACGCAGGGGTTCTTAACTTGAATGAGGACCTCCCTAAGACATGTGGATAGAATCATATCTCAGTATAACTTCCTTGGGGCCAGGGATATAGTTCAGTGGCACAGCACCAGCCTGGCAAGTTTGAGGTCATGAGTTCAATTCCCAGTACCAAAAAAAAGAAAAACCAGAAAACAAAACTTCCTTCCTTTGAGTTCTTATGCGCTTTATTGCATGCATTTAAAAACAAGATCCCAAGGAGGTCCATGTGCTTACACACACATACCTGGGACAGACAGTTCTCAGAACTGAGGGGTTGGGGAGCTGGCTATCTTTTGAGGAGACTGGCTTTTTGGGCAACATAGGAGTCCTAAACATGGGGTATGTTTTATCCTCTCAAGATCTCCTGTAAAATACATATTTCTCATCCTATCCAGCCAGGAAGGCAAAGGGGTTACATAGTAAATAGAAGCAAAACCAGAATTGGACCCCAGGTTTCCTGGGGCCAATATGAGGTCTCTTTACCTTCCATTTTCATAAATGTCAGTTCTTAAAACAGGACAAGAGGGACGAAGTATAGCAAAAGTTGGTGGCAGTGAATGTGTTCAGTGAAGGCAGGGTCCTGGGAGGTGATGCCCTTTCAGGCACATCTGGGGACCTGCCGGAGAAGCTAGTCCGAGCCCACCTAAAGTATGCAGAGCAGAGGAAGTGGGGTGAGGGGAAGAGAATGGAACTGTAGGGTCAGTTGAAAGGCTTCCGAGGCACCAGGAAGTGCTCCTTGGTTCCTGAATCCAGTTCTGGCTATACTTTCCCTGGCTAGGGACTACTCTATGGTGTCCCAGCATCTCCCAAAGAACTGAAGATAGCAATTCACAGGGCATGGTAACTTGGGGAGGGGCATCCTACAAGAACACTGCTCTCTGGATCCCAGGTGCTAATATAAACTGCTTTATAGATATTACCTTATTTAATCCTTACTCCAATCCTATGAGGTAGATGGTGTTTAGCTTCTCTTTTACAGATGAGGAAATGGAGGCACAAAGAAATAAAGGGATTTGTGTGACATGAAAAAGCCAAAACTGAACTCAGGTACTTTGCTTCTGGAATCCATACTGTTATACAGGGTTGCCTCTGCATGCATATGGGGTGAGGAGAGAAAGGACATCTCATATCTAGGTGAGCCTGTCAATCCCCAGTCAATGGGGCCTCAGCTGGCACTCCTGCCACAGACCCTCCACTGGCCAAGCCGGAGAGTACGGTCCTGCAGCACGGGTCCCGTGCTGTGTGATCTACAGTGTGAAAAGACTCTCCAGTGGAAACATAGACAGCCTGGCACAGCACAGGGCATAAAGGCCACCCCTTCCATCAGCAATTCTCCTTGGCAGGCTCTTCCCCATCTGGTCTGCAGCATGGTGAGAAGGCAATTAATGGAGGTAATTTGAGATGACAAGCTAGAGGCTGCAGGCCTTCAGTTTGGGGTCACAGTGTTCATGCCAGCCCTGCAGGAAGAGCTGGACTGAGTCATGCATTTGAGAGGCTGGCCTTACACAGGATGAGGCAGGCTGGCCAACCCCTGGCACCAGACTGGGAGGCTCGACTGAACCTTCATGTGCTTCTTCCAGGGGAGAGATAGCAGGGCTGCCCATGAGGGAAACAGGGCAAAGGCGCGGACACCCAGGGAGGAGACCATTCTAACAAAAGCTGAGGCTGCCCCTCCCTCAGAGGTGATTGGAAGGCTTTGAGGAGGTCTGTGTGAGGCAGTCTGCAAAGTAGGATAGCTAATGCACGGTGGGAGAGAGTGCAGGGGTCTCCACTGTGGTCCTCTGAGCACCCAGCTCCCTTCCCACTGGTGTGTCAGGAGCACTAAGGATGCCTCTGGTCTCAAGAGAGATGGAGCGAGGGAAGGGGCAGGGATCTCAGGACACAGCTGGAGGAAGTGGCTTTAAGAAACCCTGACCTGGTCTCTCTGGGCCCTGGAGACTACTGACAAACGCAAACAGACTGGGGGCTGGTCAATGGGCACATCTTTAGGGGGACTGAGGTGAAGGCTGGAGGGCTCTGCCCTTCTTTCCCCTCAGTTCTCTCCACGAATGGTTTAGACGGACGGGCAGTGGACACTATACTCTCAGCCCCCAAGGCACCGGAAGAGACAGGGATATATAGTTCAGCAGTGATTGGTGTGAGACGGGCAAGGTTTGCCGAACTGGCTGGTGATCCCGGGGGACAGGAGGGCAAAGCCTCCCCAAGTGTGGGTGAGATCCCGGCCTGAAGCAAAGAGATGCCAGGTTGCTCCCCTCCGCTCCCAGGGGCCACCAGACTTTGCAGTCAGGAGCTCAAGTTCCTCTCTGTTGCAGGGACAACAGTAAGGCGAGGAGCTGACCCAGATGGGAGGAAACAAAGCTCTGCTGGACAAAGGATTGCCGCAGCACGGAGTTGGAGCCCAGACCTCGCCGGACCCACCAGGAAGGTCCGCGGCTTCTCCCGGGTGGCTCAGGGCAGTTAAAGCTGCCAGGTCCGACCTCCGCCAAACTTGCACACCTCTTCGCCCCACCCCTTACGCCTTCACCCCGCCGCACCCGCGCTGCCCGACGCGGTCCAGCCACGCCCGCCGCCTGGGCTTTAGGAGCCTCTAGGACGATCCGGAACGGCGGGGAGAACCGTCTTTCGTGAATGCGTTTCTCCCTCAGCCCCTTCGTGAGATCTGGGCCCTGTGAAACCCAGCCTTCTGTGCCAGAATAAGGGGGCATCCCCGAAGGGCAAGTCTGTAGACCCGCGCCGCTCCCCGACCTCGCGGGCCCGATGTGGAGACAAGTCTGGGACCGCCCAGGGTGGTGCGAGAAGCCCCACACCCGGGCGGCGAGCTGAGATTTCTTCAGCGTGGCAGGCGGCCCGGGACTGCAGGATCCCCGCCCGCGAGCCGGGCACTCACCGTGCAGGGTCAGGAAGTCGCGGCCCGGGTCCATGCCCGTCGGGCGGGTGGGCGCACCGCGGGACTCGCGCGAGGAGGAGCGGCGCGGGCGGCCTCCAGTCCGAGCGCTGCGCGGTGCGGGACCCAACTGCGCCGCGGTGGGAGGAGGCCGGGGTGGGCCGGGGACACCGCCCCGCCCCTGGGCCCGCGCCCCCACCCCCCGGGCCTTCCAACCCGCTTCTCTCCCCGCCCCCTCCGGGATTTGGGAAGGAGGCAAAGCCCGCGGCCTGCAACACCCGCCAGCCCTGGCCGGGGCCAGTGGGTGTGCCCAGGCCAGAAATAGTCAGATCCCTCTCGCTTCCTCTGCTACCGCCTCCCACAGGTCGCAGGCCCTGTTATTACCGCGGCCGCCAACACCACGCCCTTCCTGGGGGTGCCTGGCCGTGCTGGGGTGATGCTGGAAAGAATCCGGTCTCATCCCAAGGAAAGGATCGCGAAAAGTCCGATGCCAGCCGAGTTGCTGCTTAAGGAGTCGCGGCACGTAGGCGTGTGACTGCAGCTCCCCGGGGCATCTGCTTTCCCTTCTGCGAAATGGGCGCGCGGCACTCGCTGGGAGGTCTGTAGAGAACTGGACCTGGACTTGGTCCAAAGGAAGGTCCCTTGACTCTTGCTGGGGGGATTTCTAACCCCGGCAGTGCTTTTCGTGGGCGTGGGGTAGCAAACAGGAAGCTCACCTTTGAGCTTTGTGTGCCTCAAAGCCCTAGAGAGCTGTGCAGCCGAGGGAGCGGGACCTCCAGGTCTCTTCTTGAGAGGCCTCCTTTGGAACTATCCTGGCAAGGGGCCCCTACGTGGACACCGCCCACGATTCTTGAGATGCAGAAACTCTCCTTGTGGGGTGCTCAGATATCCAGGGAAGGTCAGGGATCTTGCTGCCCTTGACGCCTTGGACCAGCTTCTGGGAACTGGGCTCTGGTTGTCGGGAACCTCTAGGGGGCCTTCGCGATCTCTATACTGTTTCCTGCAGTGAGGTTACCCAGGCCTCCCTGGCGGATTATGGCACTGAGAGTCTCAGAGAAGTTAGCTGGACGCTTCTGAAGGAAGCAGGAGGCCTCACTCCCTTCAGCTCTTTCTCTTTTGGGTGCAACCGGGACTAGGTGGCACTGGTAAAGGCTGTGAAACGGCTGCAGGGCCGTCTTCCAGGGCTGCGAGTTGAGGCTGGAGCACAGCACTTTGGAGCTTTGGAGAACACTTCCCTGCCGCGGAAGCCGCCGCCCCTGGGGGGCTGGCCCTTCATCCCATGCTCACCTCTGGTCCTGCTGCTTGGGAAGGACCCCTCAGTTGCCTTCCTACTCTGTGTTTGTTGAGGAATGAACAATTCCACACGGACAGGCCTCACTTTGGACCCCCAGCCTCAAGGTGAGGATGGGGAATCTCTTCCCTGCCTTCACTTGCCTTCCACCCTCTCACCAAAGCCCTGCTTTGCAAGGGCCTCCCGGAGTCTTGGAGCCTCCCACCTGGGTCTCTGACACCCCTGGTGCGAGCCAGCCTCTCTCCCCAGTAAGTCAAGCCTCCTCACCCCCAACTCCCCTTCCCAGGCAGAGACACAGTGAAATTCTGACCCTGTAGTTGGCATGGCTTCATTTCTGTCATCATTCCTACTCCACGTCCTCTTTCAGCTCTGAGTCCTGCAGCATCCTCACCCCCAAAATAGGGCATTAGCTAGGACCCTGGCCTCTTCCTCTGCCCCACGTTCCCGTCTCCCGGACTGCAGCAGGCTCTTCAATACCCTCAACCTACTTCAAACAGACCCTTTCTGGCCTCCTGCCCACACATAGGAGCTGCAGCCTCCTCCCTGGCCGGGGGTTATTGGGCAGGATGGGCACGCTGACTCAGAGCCGGCCCTTGCAGTCAGGTTCTGCCAGAAATGAACGCTGGGCCACACCCTACTCAGAGTTCCGCTGACCTGTGGGTCAGCCCTCCCTGTCGTCCCCTCCCTCTCCCTCCCCCACTCCCTCTGTCTGCCCTCCACTTGCTCACAGGCTGGGAGGCATTCTGCTCTGTTTGTGTGCTGTGACTGCATCTGTGTGTGCTGGGCTTGGTGGCAGGGAAGCACAGCCAGAGGCTTTGTGCTGAACCACAGAGTTGCTGGATTCTTCTCCCTTGCCCTTAACTCCCAAGGCCTTTTGTGTGGGCTGGGCCCTGGCGAGGCTTCTAAATTACCCTTCTCAAAACTCAGCTTTCAGTCACCTCTGCAAGATGCCCCGGGAGCCTGGTGACTCATAGGGCTCTGTGTCAGGCTTAGTTTGTGTGCACAGAGGGTCCAAACATGCCCAAGACTGGCTCTCTGATGGCAGAGTTCCAGGCATCTCACCACTCCCAACCTGTCCGGCCAGCCTTCAGTGTCTCAGGGGAGTGGGGAGGGGGCTTCTGAGATGCCTAGGGCTGGGTAAGAGACCCAGTGCTGGGGTCAGTGCTGCCTCAAGTCACCCCCGCGCCCTTGGGCCCCGGGAGTGGGTATTATGAACCCAAGAATGCCAACTTTCAGGATGGTCAGGCTCTATTTGGCTTCAGGGTTGGCCCTGACCAACCCCCTCCCTTGAGAAACTCAAACTTAGCACTCCTCAGTAGGTGAGGTGGCTGAGGTTTATGCTCTCCCCTCTCGACATTTACAGGCCCTGTCACAGGTCACTGGGAGTGAAGAGGCTGTTTAAATATTGGCCCTGCAGTTTGCTGCTGTGAGACACTTCAGTCCTTCGAGCTCTGCAATCAGGTGATGCCATCATCTTTGGAGTAGGCTGAAATAACACATGTGAAACACAACATCTGGCACAAATAAATACCTACTGAGGACCAGAGCTAGAATTGTCTCTCCTGAGATCCATCCCCTTCCTGGCCTCCTCTCCATGTCCTGCTGGCCAGAGGCTCTTGGTCAGAAAGGGACCCCTGCTGCTTTCAAGGGGTGAAAAACCTCACCTAAGCTCCTCCAGAGGGTCTTACACCCAAGTCCAGTGCATTAGGAGGAAAAGTAAAGGCTGCCTCTCCCAAGCAGGCAGCTCTGACAAAGGGTCCTCAGACCGTGATGGAAAGAATTCCTGATCAGGTAGGGGCCCAGGATGCCAGAATGGACCCCAAGATGTGGGGCCTCTTGGTAATTCCAGGGGAGGATGGGGCTACTTAGGATTGCTTTCCATAATTATATTTGGGGATTTCACTGTATGTTCATTCGTAAAGATAACTGTGAGTCTTATTGCACTGTGGACTGCGTCTGGGTGCTCACCTCCTCCCCCCCTCACAGGCAGATGCAGTGCTTGGTGAGCAGGAACAGTCAGAAGATTTGCCCTTGGGCCCTTATCTGAGTGAGGAGGCGCATCTAAAGAGCATGTGAACGGGCAAATATACCAAAACCCCGTGTGAAAACTGTTCTGCTCTTTTGCCCATTATTTAACAAGTATTTATTGAGTACCTATTGTGTACTGGGCAGTGTTCTGGAGGCTTGGAAGTCACCAGTGAACATAACACACAAAAAACCCTGCCATTCTTGGAGCTTGAATGCTAAACATGTTCAAAATATCCATACTGCTGATGGGAGTCTACTTTGCCATAATCTTGCTGGAGGGCAATTTGGCAGTATTTCAAATGCTAAAATGTACCCATCTTTGGCCACACAATTCTGTGATACTATCCCACAGAAACATTGTATAGCTTACAAGGTATGCACAAGTATGAGTGAGGTTGCTCATTACAGTATTATTTACAGTAGCAGAAAAGTAAATAGAATATAGTAAGTGGAAAAAGCAAATGACAAGACATGTTATATATATCATGATATGTTCTTTTTAAATATTAAAATGACTTTATACATATTAGTATTTTTACAAGCAGAAAAAAATAACTAGAAGGATATAGAGATAATCCAACAATCTGGGGGAAAACACCAACCAAGGACACTTTATTCTTTGTGTACTGTGGTTTTTTTTGTTTTGTTTCTGTGTGTGTTCTACATCATCTTCTATGATGATGTAGAAGTTTTGCAATTTAAAAGTAAAACAACATTTAAAGGTCAAAAATGTGTGTGGATCCTAAAATTTATATGTAACCAGAAGAAACCCAGAATATCAAAAGCAATTGTGGGTAATGAGAACAAAGCAGAGGGCACCACAAGTCCGGATTTCAAGTTATATTAAAAGCTATATTAAAGTTATATTAAAAGTTATATTAAAAACAGTGATAAAAACACCATGGTACTGGGACAAACACAAACACAGGGACCAGTGGAACAGAACAGAGGATGCAGAAACATCCCTAGATAGTTCAGCTACCTGATCTTTGGCAAAGGGGCCATTGGAGGAAAGATAGCCCCTTTAGCAAATGGTGCTTGAGAAACTGGTTATCCATGTACAAGAAACTGAATCTAGACCCATAAGTCTCACCATGTACTAAAATTAAAACCAAAATGGTTCAAAGATCTAAATATTTAAATAGGAACATTTAATCTGTGGGAAGATAAAGTAAGTAAGACTCTCGTAGGCAGACTTTCTGACCAAAACTCAATTGCACAAGAAATAACAGCAAGAATCAAAAAGTGGGATTATATCAAATTTAAAAGCTTACGAATAGTAAAAGAAACAAGCAGAAGAGTGAAGAATGAACCTACAGAACAGGAAAAAAAAGGTTTGCTACCTGTTCCTCAGACAGAGGGCTAATATCTAGAATATATAAATAATTAAAAAAATTAGACCATCCAAATAAAAGACTCAATCAAATGTGGGCAACTGAAGTTAATAGACACGTCTCAGAAAAAGAAGTACAGATGGCCAATAAATACATGAAAAAATGTTCAACATCTCTGGCCATCAGAGAAATGAAAATTAAAACAACACTGAGATTCCATCTTACCCCCAAAAGAATGGCTGTCATCAAAAATCAAATAATAAAATGCTGAGCGTGGTGGTGCACACCTGTAATCCCAGCACTCAGGAGGCTGAGGCAGGAGGATCGTTGCGAGTTTGAGGCCAACCTGGGCTACAAAGTGGGCTCAAGGCCAGTCTGAACTGCATAGTGAGACCCTGTCTCAGAAAGACCAAAAACAAAATCAAATGATAACAAATGCTGGCAAGGCTGTGGAGAAAAAGGAACCTTCTACACTGTTAGTGGCAATGTAAACTGATACAGTCACTATAGAAATCAGTATGGAAATTATTTTTAAAAAACTTAAAATGGAAATTCCATTCAATTTAGCTAGTCCACTTCTAGATATCTTCCCAGAGGTGTTAAATACATAATATTACAGTGATATAAGCATACCCATCTCATAGTAGCACAACTCATACAAGCTAAATCTTGAAAGTGGCATATATGTCTATCAACAGAAGAATGGGCAAGGAAAATGGCCTTTATGCATAGTGAAGTACTGCCTTCCTAAATAAGACAATGAATTTAAGTCCTTTGTAGGAAAATAGATGCACCTTGAATCCATAAGGTTAAGTGAAGTAAATTGACACACAAACTTACATATCATATGGTTTCTCTTATATGAGAAACCCAAAGTGTAAATAAATTGAAATATAAAATAAAAAACAGATAATAGGAAACAGGGAGATATATATTTTTGCAAATAGGAAGGGGACCAAGAGGTGGAGGGAGTGAGGAGGAAACAAGAAGGAGGGGCTGGGGATTTAGCTCAGCGGCACAGCGCCTGCCTGGCAAGCATGAGGTCGTGAGTTCGATTCCTGGTACCAGAAAGAAAAAAAAAAAAAAACAACAAGAAAGGGACATGAAAAGCATGAAGATGTATTATGCACAGGTCCTGACTACCCAAAATGAATGTATTCATTATGTACTAATGAAGAAAAGTGTCTGTGGAATCCATAGATAAACAAACAAACAAAAGTTACCATCAGAAGAATTGTGGTCCTAAAATGAGGAGAGCATCTAAGAAGGAATTGCTGTTGTACAGAGGTAGTTCTCATGGGAAGGAAGCTGGTGAGTGGCTTGGAGCATGACGTGGCCCTTTGTTACTGGTGCAGAACAGGAGCCACTCATTTGCCCAGGCAATCAGATAGCAGATGGATTGAATGCTAGACACAGCAGAATCAGAAATGATTTGAATGTATCTTGATATCTTTGCAAAGATCAGGCAGATAGTAGAAGAAGAGGGACAAGAAGGTGGAGATGGGAGACACACAGAGAGGAGAGGAAAGTGACTATATCAGCCAGAGGGAATGGACAGCGGCATCAGATGAGGACTGACAGAGTGACTACTGCCCCTGAAAGGATGGGAGGGTTGTGAGTGACTCGGGCTGGACAGGGTCAGCTGAGCAGGGGGGCTGACACCAACAAGTGGGAGGGATTGGACTCCCCATGACATACCCTGTGGCCACCTGCAGGTGGGTATGAAGCCAAAATTAAAGGCAAGAATCCAAATCCTTCCCTTCTCTAGGGCAGGGAAGGAGGCCAAGGAGCTTCCAAATGTTGAACTGGTCCTGACAAGATCATCCAGTTTGGGCAGGCTCACCCCTCACACTGGAGCAATGCAGGCTCACCAGAGTGTCCCACTTCCCTTCCCACACACAGCTCCTCCTTGTCCAATTGGGGACTTCCTGTGTGTAGAAAATGGCACAAGCAACCAGCTTGCCCACACCTCTTGCACACCTACCCTTCTCCCCCGCCATAGCTATACCTTAATGCAAACACCACCATCCCCGGCAGGAGGGTATTAAAGAAGAGCCTGCACAGGATATTTGGACAAACACCGTTGGGTTCTCAGGTACGGGAAGGGAAGGCACTGACACAATACCTTGGCTGTGTGGCCTTCTGATCCTATGGGAGAGGGTGCAACTGGAGGACACGCAGAGCAGGGCCCTTTCAAGTTCATAGCCCAGAGCAGGGGCCTGAGTTTTCTAGCACTCAGGACAGAAAAGGTACTGAAAAAGACAGATGAAGGGGGAAGGCCCTCCTGTGAGAAGTGGAAGTGGCCCGGGTCTGTGGGCGAACATCCTGGGGCTCATCTCAGGAAGTGGCTTTCAGGCTACAAGGCGAGCAAACACACCCCTGCGTAGAAAGTGGTTCTGAGGCCGCCTGTGAGCAGAAGCCACGGTGTGCCACCTGAGCAGGGGTGGTCCTTTTCCCCAGCTCAGTGCATGATAGAATCACCCATCTGACAGCACACACAGGACACCTGGGAGGCATTCTAGGTCCCTCTTTCTCATCCTCCACCATCCACCAGTAAGTCTCATCAATGATACCTTTAGGATCTGTCTCTAATCCATTTCCCTCTCCCTCATGCAAGCTGCCTTGTCTCTCAGCCTGCTCCTGCCTGATCTCTTGCCTTCCATTATTCTCACGGCAAGCAGTAATCTTAGTACAGTAAAATAGCTGACTCTGACATGCCCCAGGTTAAGATGCTTGACGGCCCTCCTGCCCTCCTCAGAATAAAGTTCAAGTTTCCTAATGCGGCCCAGGTCCCACCTGCTTCATTTCTCCTCCTTCAAACTCTCCACATTTCACTTCTGAGGTTCTTGCAGTTCCTTGCACATGCAGCCCTGGCTCCCAGCTGGCATTCTCTCCCAGCTTTTGTACACAGGTCCTTCTGCATGACATGCCCTTTTCCCTTTCTCTTCTAGCTTATTCCTACTCATTTTTCCCACTTAAAAAGAAACTGAGGTGTAATTTACATAAAGGCCATCCTTTCTGTGAGGTTTGACAAATCTATACGGCTGTGTATTCACACACAATCAAGAAACGGAACAGTTCCATGTCTTGTATCCCTCATGTCCCTGTGTCAGCTCTAGTCCCTGTCCCCAGCTCCTGGGAACTACTGATCTGTTTTAGGTTTGAATTTTCTGGAAAGTACTCTAAGTGCAGTCATTCAGTGGATATATCACCATTTGGGACAGGCTTTTCTTACCTAAGCATAACAAAATGCATTTGCGATTCATCTGCGGTGTTTTATATTTCATTAAAAGTCTATTTACTGCCCATAATCACAGTTTTTTGGGAGGCTGAGGCAGGAGGATTCCAATTTCAAGGCCAGTCTGGGCAACTTGGAACTTTTTTTTTTAAAGGTTTAGGCATGTAGCTCTGTGGTAAAGTGGTGGGTTCAATCCCCAGTACTGGAAAAAAATTCTGTTTCCTTTTTATGAATAAGTAGCATTCAGTTGTATAGCTGCGCTACAGTTTATCTGTTTTGTCCAGTTTTGGGTGATTATGAATAAATGGCCATTAAAATTTCTGTACAAGGTTTTGTGTGCTTGGCTTTCATTTCACTTGGAGAACTCCCTCTCTGTGAGGCTACTGTATATTTAACTTTATAAGAAACTGCAAAGTGTCTTCCAAAGTTGTACTAGTCTGTATTCCCATTCACAATATATGAGAATTCCAGTTGTTCCATAGTCTCACCAGCACTTGTTTTGTCCCTTCAGTATATTCAAGTAATTTATTTATTTATGTAGGCCATTTTACTAAGTGTGTAGTGATATCACATTGTGGTTTTAAATTCACCTCAGGAAGCTGGGTGTGCTGGTGCACACCTGTAATCCCAGCATTCAGGATGCTGAGGCAGGAGGATTATTGCAAGTTCAAGGCCAGCCTGGGCTACAAAGTGAGCTCAAATTCAGCCTGAAATGCATAGCGAGACCCTGTCTCAAAAAGACAAAAAAAAAAAGTTCCACTCCAGGATGGCAACAATCTTGTCAACGACGTTGAGTCTACGCACTCTTTTAAATCTCTATCTGGTCTTCACCTTTTTCAAGAAGCTACTTACTTACTGCTTGCCACAGAGACTAAGTTCTTGTCCTCCTTTGTGGTTCCATGACAAACAGTTATAGTTATCGCCACCTTGGTCTTACTACATTTTCCTGTAACACACACAGACACATGCACGCACCTGTGCAGTTCCCGAGGGCAGAGTGATACGGGAATGATAGCAGACTGCCCAGTGATATGGTGGGAATATTACAACTCCCAACCTGTTAGATGTCAGATACTCCAAGTTCTTGTTACCAAAAATCGAAGAGTGAATTCCAGCGAACAACGGCGTTTAAGAGTAGGAAATATTTATTGAGGGAGACAGATACAGCTCCTGAGAGACAAAAGGGGTCTAAGTGGGTTGCCAATGAGCCCACTTCACAGAGGAAGTTTTATAGAGCAAAATCATGAGGTAGGTACAACATGAGTTAAAGCTATGATCAACCAATAAGATTATAAATATAGCTGCTTAGGTAATATGGATACAGTGGGGAAGTAAGTTCTGTAGCAAGTGTACATGGAAAGAACTTTGAGAAAGGGATGAGTCTGCAGGTCTTGGTCACCCACCGATGTGACTGTCAGTCTAGACTTTATTGGACTAGGCGTTACTACTTATCGATCCCTTGGGGAGGTATGTAGGTTTGGTCATTTCATCTTTATCCTGAGGCCTGGCCTCCAACAAATGCACCTCCACCACAGGTGTAATGCGTTTTCCTCTTTTGTATTGATGAAGGCCTAGCCCTGCGTGCCTGCCTATAATATTTCTACCTTACTTAGCTGTCTATAATAGAAGTAGCATCTTACTTCCTTTGGTATCTTCAGCTCCCAGCACAGGGCCTGAAACCGAATCTTTATACAACCAATATAAAAGGAGTGACTACTGCTGAACACAGTGAAGAATAAATGGATGAAGGCAGGTAACAGAACATGGTTTTGCAATCAGACTGGCCTGGCTGTATCTTAACCTTGTTTCCATAGATACCTCATACTCACTAACCTCACCGTTAAAAAGGGTAATGGTGAGGATGGTAGAATCTGCGACGAGGACACCAAGGACAGTCCAAAAGGGAGGCAAAGCGGAAGGGGCGGCGCCGGAAGCAGAAGTGCAGAGTTAGCTGCGTCTCAGTTGCCATGGAGACCAGGACGCAAGAAGAGCGGAGGTCTGAGGAGGTCCAGACCTACGAGAACCAGGAGACAGAGTGCTTGCAGATCTCGCGTCCGGCCGGGTCCAGTAGCCCGGTCCAGGTCGGCGGGAAGTCCTCCCTGCAGCCCTCCCTCACCTACTCCGAAGTTTTACGCTGCGGCTTCGCGTCCCGGCCCCGCGGGCTCCGGTCGTTGGCGCTGCCGCCGCACCCTGAGCCCCAGCCGCTGCGCCTGCGCCCCTCCTCGCTGCTCACTCAAGACATCTCGCACTTGCTCACCCGCGTCTTCCGCAACTTGTACTCTGTCGAGGTGATCGGCGAGGACCTGAGCGCCAGTTTGATCCAGGCCCGCGGCAGCGAGGATGAGCGCCATGAGGTGTTCGTGGACCAGCTGCAGCAGGTAATTGTCTCCGCAGCCCCGCCTAGCGGCATCGCCGGTGCCCGAGACCCGGACCTGCCGCAGGACTCCCGTCCCTGTCAGCCTTGGCAGTGCCAGGCACTGTTCCAATTCCCTGCTGCGTGGATGCCACGTTCAAGTAGAGACACTAACAAGTATGCAGATACACACTACTGTGCACAAATGGCCTGTGTCTGTAGCGCAGTTCTAATATGCACATTATATATTACATATACAATGTAATAAAATGACTAGGGTAGATCGCTCGGTAATTGTTCCCTGGAGGTGATGGGGCCAAAAGCCACCTTCTTCTTTTGGGGTGTTTTGTATCACAAGCCACAGTCTTGACTAACACGCCTATGCCCAAAATTTCAGAAGCACTCTCAGACTTGGAACAGCAACTCTGCTTCCTCACCTGTACAGGCAGGGAAGCCAACTGTCTGGGGCCCTCTGTGTTGAGGTTTTCTCTGCCCAAATTCCCTTCCGTTTGAGGTCACATCAGCCCCAAACCACTGTCTTACCCAGGGTGCCTCCTGCCTCTCACATCGACCTCTTCTGTGCTCTATTCTGTCCTCTCCCTGCCTGCCCCTTAAGTAACATGCACCCAACTCCACCACCACAGCTTCACCCCCAGCTTTATTTAACATGTTTGTTGTCTACTGTGTGCCGTGTTGTGTTCTGAGCAGTGATGATTCAGTCATAAATAAGACGTGCCTGAGTGTACACACACATGCAGCCTGTCCTCTATAGCTTACAACCTAACTGGGGTACTTAGACTTTAACATGAGTGTTTGTGCAGTATGTGAAATATTGGTGGGACTAGCCTGACCCTGCTGTAGGTTATAGGCTTCCTGAAATCCAGGGAGGACCCCTGGGTGGGACCCATTGCACTGTTCTTTGGGCTGCCACATCCACTCTGCTAAGACTTCAGCCAACCCAGGCCAGACCTTGCTCTTGAACTTCCAGTTCTCATCTGTGTCATTCACATGAGCCAGAATATGTGATGCATTGTTAACCTATAAACCCCATGACCCAGTTCATTAGAGACTACCTCTTTGGTATCTTTCCTGCAAATAGCCACTATGTCAGGGTCTGAACTGGCAGAATGATTCCTCTTTTAAAAATAAGGGCTTTGTGCTGGGTGCAGTGGCATATGCCTATAAATCCAGCTACTCAGGAGGCAGAAGTAGGAGGACTGCAAGTTCAAGGCCAGGATGGACAACTTAGCAAGACTGTCTCAAGAAAAAGAAAAAAAGGGCTGAAGATGTAGTTCAGGGATAGCATGCCTCTGGTTTTGATCCCATCACCATGCACACAAAAGGAGGGCTTTGGAAGATACAAATAATTCAAGCTGGGTGTAGTCCTCCCACCCCTGGCTCACGAGTAGCTGGGAAGACAGGCATGTAATGCTGGCATGGACATGAACATGACTTGAACGTGAACAGGCATGAACATGACTTGAGTTCTCCCCATACTTGCTGACTGCTGATCTTTTTCTGGTCCACATATACAAGTATTGTATAGTCTAAGGACTAAGAGCAGTTGCTTTGGAGAACATACTGTGGCTTTGAATTCTGGCTCCACTATATACCCCTATACTACTACCTTGGGAAATACTTACTTCTATATACCTCAGTTCCCTTGTCTATAAAGTGCAGGTAATTTTCTACTTTATGCGTTGCTGTGAGGGTGAAATGAGTCAGTTCAGTAAAAGATTTACAGTACATGGTAGGTACTCAGTGATGGTAGTTTTTTTGATATGATGCCAATTCCTACTTCCAAGAATTGGGATAAGGGGTTATCAGCACATCCAAATGATAGAATAAAGCATCATACTTTATGTTTAATGAACTGTCCTGGCCACTGTCTCCTGTAAGGGAGTTTGCTGTCCTCAGGAAGATTGAGCTACCTAATCCTAGCCTTCATTATATTATCATTCATACTCCACTGTAATACTTTTAAGAGTCTTTCCACTTGTTTGTATCTTTTCCTGACCCCTCCTGCTAAACCATATTTGACACATTTCCTCAATTGCACATAGTAAATGCACAATAAATCTTTGATTACATAAGTGTCTTTGAGGTTTTTATGAGCTCTAGGAATAAAATAAAGAACACCATTCCCCTGTACAAACTGTCTTTAACATTACCTTTACCAGTGAGCTCTTTACTTCTTGCCTCGAAGATTCTTAGCTGAAGCTACAGAGTGACTTCTCTGAACTGGGACCTGGGTGTCCCTACAGGCAATGTGCTAAGTACCTACAGGTAGTGTGTTTGTACTTCACAGTGTGGATAGCAGTTCTTTTGCTATGAAACCGTGAAACAGGGTACCAAGCAAGGCTGTGTTACTGATCTTACTCTGAAACCTTTAGTTCATTTCCTTCTATGGTTCTCAGTTTTCGCATCTGGTAGGTCAGACCAAATGACTGAAATATTTCTCTGGCTGTTGTGCACTTCACTGGAAGTCCTGATGTGGGAGTGGGCCAGAGTAAAGCTATGGGAGCTCACCATATTTCTCTGCATTTAATCATCCATCTGTCAGATTCGAGAGCTCTATAAGCAGCGGCTGGATGAGGTTGAGATGTTGGAGAGACATATTACTCAGGCCCGTGCTCGGGCCCTGGCTGAAACAGAGCGAGCCTCCAACCTGATCCAAACACATGTGCTGGAGACCTCCATCAAGTTGCCTCCAGGTGTGTATAAAAAAAATGCCGGTATGCCTGCTCCTTCCTTCCCACCTGTTGTAAGTTACTATATTCACTCCACTGCCAACTCTCTTTTTCTTAACATTGGGAGAGCAAGTTGCAGACTCGTATTTCATGACCACAAAGTACTCACTCCAGTGTGCATGGTATCTTCAGAATAGGAGCATTCTCCTAGGTAAGCAACATCTGACCCTCCAAGCCAGAGAATCGGCCAACATGTGACACTGGTTTCCCACCCACAGGTAACCACGGCTCTTTCTGCTCCCTGGCCCAGGACACTATCCAGGATGTCATGTGACTTGTATTTGCCACACCTTTTTCTCTGACTCCTTCATTTGCCAGACTTCCTTGATATTCTCTTGTCTATCATGTTTTTGACAGTTCTGATAGGCCCTTACTCTGTAGCATGTTCCTGTCTGATGGTGCCGCATAATGAGACCCAGGCTTTGTATTCCAGGCAGTGGCACCCATAAATTATGCTGGGCTCGTACCACTGTGGCACGTTGGGGGCACAGGTGATGCTAATCTCCATCACCTGGGTAGTTGGTACCTTCCAGACTTCTCCACCATGTCTTCAGATTAGACTAATGTCTTATTCCTGATAAAAGTTCCATCATCTAGCCACCAGCATTCACTGGAAATTCTTTTAACTACCTCAATGGTGATATTTCTTTGATCAGTTGATTTGTTGAAAAAAGTGGGTTGTTTTTCCTATAATCTGGATTTAGTTTACTTGAGCATTGTAGTATCATTTAACTTGTTCTTATAATCCCTGTATTTTTTGTGCAGTGGTACCTTACTGTGCAAACTTTATTTGTTCTACAATTTTGGAAAAGATGGCCATGTTTGTGTTTGTGTGGGGCAGATGGCCATGGTAGTGTTTGTCACCCACACATTGAAAGAGTTTGCAAACAAAAACAAAATTTTGCCAAATGCTTCTGTTTGTGAACCAAATTGTTTGTAAACAAAAGCATTTGTGAACCAAAGTGCCACTGTAAATTGATAATTAGTCCTAGAGACTTTATGCAGTTTCTGTTCAAACTTTGTGTGTGTGTGTGTGTATGGGAAGAGGGGCAAGACCACTTCATAGGCGGTGCTGTGTGCTCCTCTGGAGGTACATGATATCTGATAGTTTCTTTAGGTGGTACTGATAGCCTTTTTAATTTTTAGGGGCTGTAAATTATAATAAAATGCAAACAGTAATCATTCATTTTTATTTGTCAGCTGAAATACTTTAAGAGAAACTTTTCAGTAACTGCTTTGATTACCCTAGGGTATGGGTAGGATTTCTTCTTTCTCTTTCTTTGCTGGTTTTAAAGTAATGAGTTGGTTCCCTTATCTTCCACAGGTGACAAAGGAGGTTTATTTAATTGGTTTAGTGTCTCTATGAGCATCTGGATGTCATAACTATAATTCTACTATTGTCTTTACTGATGCTTAAATTGTCCTGCCTTTGGCCAGCCTTTTAAAATTGACTTTTGACAATCAGCTGTCTTTGAAAACTTCCTTGCTTTTTGGAAGACTAAGTCGTTTCAGGCTTATCTTGTATATACCTGGCCTAGAATCAGCCATTTCTTCAAGAAACCTTGGTTTTTCCCCACTTCCTCCAAAATATTTCATATATATTTCTGGATCCCCTAAACAAAAAAATCATCATTTTCCACTACAGTAGGCAGAAAGGACACATTTATGGTGATGATGCCTATCATATTTGTGACCTACAGGGAAGATCTAGAGAGAGGGAGAAGTGGAAGATGTAAGGCCTTTCAAAGGCATTTTTTTTCCCTTTGCTTTGTTTTTTTGAGACAGGGCCTCACTATGTAGTCCAGGCCAACCTTGAACTTACTGTGTAGCTGAGGCTGGCTTTGATCTCGCCATCCTCTTTCCACTGCCTTCTAGTGCTAGAGAGGCATTGATACTCGTGGAGGCCTCTTAGGGACCAGATGCATGCTGGATGAACTACTTCACAAAGATTAGCCCATTGAATCTTTCCAACAGCCTTTGTGGTAGGTTTTCTCTCTATTTTGGGGGGGCAGGAACTAAACTTAGAGGGATGCTTAAATAACTCCTCCAACATTCCATAGCTCATAAGGGTAGGAACCAGATTTCAACTTGAGAGACACTAGTCATGGCCCATCTCTTTCTTTTATCAGAAGGATTGTTGACCTGGCCTAGAGTCCCAGGTACATTGATGACATTCTTAGGGTGTGGCTCTGAGTTTGAGGCCCTATCCTCTGTCAGGCCTGCCACCTCTGAAGCTGAGGTCCAGTTAGACGGTGAACACATGGTGCAGATTCCATATCTCTTCCTGTTTCCCTCTGCACTACAGCTGAGGTTAACTCCCAGAATTCCTCCATTAGCTGTCTCCTTGTGGTATCAGGTAGTATAGATTTCAGCAGAGATTATTGCTGGCATATTTTCAAGCAGTTTTATTGATTGCTTCATGTCCCTGTGTCCTGGAAATCCAATACTGTCCTGTCTTCAGTAGGGTTTTTTTCCCCCTAGTGATCAGGGAAGAAAAAATAGTTAAGGGTGTTTTATTATTATTTTTTTTTGATGAAAGTGAAATAAAATATCAAGAGCTGGGAAACAAATACTAGTTAGGAGAGTTTTGTTTTTTCTTTTTTAATTTAATGCAAATTGTTTTACTTTTTACCCAAGATATAGTTAAGTTATAGTTGGATGTTACTGCCTGCTTTCTCAGCCTTCTGCTGTCACTGTGTCTTTTCTTTATTTCAAAAGTAGCAGAAGTAGAGACCATCCAGCTCCTCGGACACCCCTCTGGTTCCTGCCTTTCCAGGCAGGGCGAGATGACCCCAGGACCTCTTCTATAATTTAGATAATTGGGGGTGAGGATATTCATCTCAAACTTTGATTGTGTGAAGCACAAGACCACCTTTCTTTCTTTCTTTTTTTAAGACAGCATTTTTCGGTTTGCTAATACATATGTCACAAGGTGGAAAGCATTCATGAATTTTCCAATCAGGGAAAAAGTGCTTTTACTTCTGCTTCTTGCTGGTAACTTGAACCTGTTACATTTTTGGAGAATGAAAGTAGCCAGCTCCTTGCAGAGCCCTGCTGAAGAGCCGTGGCATCAATGTCTTCCCAGAAGGAGGAAGAGGATCACAAGGCCAGTACAATAAGTGTTCTATATAGGTCCAGGAGTGACATGGAAAGACATTCTCCACAGACTGATAAATAAGCTGCCCCAGCTCCTGCAGACACACCTCCTAACCACCCCTAGCCTGGGGGAGGACTGTGAACAGAGTGCTATCAGAAGAGAGAGGATACATCTTGTCACATGGCCTTTGCTCTTTGCATTGGATATTTCACAGAAACCATCAACAAAGTCCTTGGGAACTGGATTAAATTGTGTCAACTTGGCATTGCTGCCACTCCCTGTCAAGGACTTTTTTGCCAAGGAGAGGTCAGGGACTACATTTCCTGGAGGAAAACACCTCTCCATTGTGGTTAAGAGACATTTGCTGAAGCGAGGCCTGGGGTGAGTTCTACAAGGGCAAACCATTAATTTTGAGAATCAGTAGCTGGCAGATGATTCTGTGCCTGTCAGTTTTTTTTTTTTTTGTTTGTTTGTTTTGTTTTTGTTTTGAGACAAGGTCTCACTGTGTAGTACAGGCTAGCCTTGAGTTCACTATGTAGCCCAAGCTGAACCTGAACTTACAGTGATCATTCGGTCTCAGCCTACCGAAAGCTGGGATTACAGGCGTGTGCCACCATTCCCAGCATCGTGCCTGCCGGTTTTGAAGCAGCTCCCAAATAACTTCCTGAGCACCTCCTGCTTCAGTTCTGCTAGCTGCCATTGTTAATGATGGTTTCCCACACCTTTTCTCTCTTAGTCTGTTATCCCTATATTAAAATCCTGTCAATTTGAGATGTGTGAAGTGTTTTCTGATTTCCTGACTATTATAGTAACTGGCCAAAAAGAGTTCCCAGCATGTACAATGGGGGAAACAGGCATTCTTCACTCTTCTCCCCTTCCCCCTTGGTCACAGGAGACTTTCAAAGGCAAAGACCACGTGACAGCACTATGTCTTAATATACTGTGAGTAAGCAAACATCAAAGTTTGAAAGCTCCCAAGTCTTCCACTTATCCTATATGCTTCTTATTTTTATCAAAATAATAAATATATATGGTTCAAACAGTTTAGAAGAACTTTTAGTAAAGTTTAAAAAGCCTCCACCTGTACATGTCATTATAAATTGGTCCAGACACATAGAATGTACAATACCAAGAGTAAACCATAAACATGGACTATGGGTGATAATGGTAGGTCTGTCAAATGTACTGCTGTACGTTTGTAGCAAAGGTACTGCTCTAACAGTGGATGTCAATAGTGGGGAATGTACCTATGGGGGTGGGGGAACATGGGAAGTCTCTACCTTTCTCACAATTTTGCTGATCATTTACAACTGCTCTGTTTTAATAAAAGCTTCCATCTCATCACTCCTGGCCTCAGTCTGTGTGCCAGAGGTAGCCATTTCTAGTTTCCATTCTTCTAGATACCTCTACGTAATGTTATTTATATGGTATATAAGTAGTATGTCTTTACTGCAATTTCTTGGCTAACCAACCATAGCCATTATGAACTTCCTACTCTATTAAAGGAGCTTTTCTCTGTTATGTATCTTTAGGTTGGTGGGTTTGGCTGATCTAGCTGGGTGTGGTTGGCTTCAAGCTGTAGGTCCTGCTGAGCTTGGCTTCTTGCTGTAGGTTGGGCTCAGCTCTGCTCCACATGGATTTATGCTGGTGTCCAAGATGAAGGGGCAAGGAAGCTCTTCTCTGATGATGGCCAAAGTGCAAGAGGGAAAGGTCACTGTGTAAGCACATTTCAAATCCTGCTGACACATCACTGGCCAAAGTCAAGGATGAAGAAGTGTACTTTGTCTCTAGTAGGGGGAACTGCAGTCATAGTTCCAAAGTTGTGTTCTGGGAAGGTGAAGAATTGGGGTCGTTTGTTCCAGCTACCTTATGGCCCTTCATTTTATTTTGTTGTAGGTCTTCCTGTGCATCACAGTATTTTAGCTGGAATAACACCCGCACACAGGCCAGTGGTTAGCCTCTTTTAAGTGGCTGGTAACTACTCTTTAGTTTCTTAAATCTAAGCCCTACTACAGGGTTTTGAGAAAGAATTTCCTTAGATTGTTTGGCTTTGGAGGGTGAAGAAAGTTTAGGTGCAGCTTCTGCCACATCAGTCTAGCTTATAATGCTTGTGTCCTCCTTCCCCTCTGTGTAGTGAAGACTGTCTTCAGGTGGTGTGTAGACAGCGAATTGCTACAGAAGCATCATTTGATCTGCCCTGAAGATTACTACAGTGATACAGTGCCGTTTTGCTCTGCACCCAAAGGTAATGTGTCTGTTTTCTCAGAGCCCAGATGTCATACCAGAGAAATCACATAGTAGCAGGGCCACATCAGTCACCTTTACTACCATTTCCTTGTCCTTAGAATTTTCCCTCCTTCTCTTTAATTTTTATAGTGATGATTGGGAGGGTCACATCTGATGTGCCACTTCCTTGCTAGCTTTCTTCATACGCTCATGATCGAAGTTCCAACTCTTCCAGGTGGAATATGGTGCTCTTGTTAGCTGCCCAACACCCAGAGATCTGTAATAGTTCAGATGTAGTTGAATGAACCAAGAGAGGGAGGGACTGGAAATATAGGAGAGTAAGGGGTGGAGACAGAACATGGGCAGTGGCTTCTCCATACAGGAAAAGAGCAGCTTTCCTTCCTCTGAGAATGGAGGGATGGATGGATTGAGGAGCAGAGAAGTTGTGTATGTGTGTGTGTGTGTGTGTGTGTGCGCGCACACACATGCGTCCACGTGTGGGTGTGTGTATGATTGCGCCAGTTTCCGCTGATCAAGGAGACCAGACCTTCTGAGAGTGAGTAAAGCAGGAAACTGGTGGGCTTAAGCGAGGAGGTAGATTTTGGAACAGTTACTGTGTAGATGGGGAAAAATCACCATGGGTCCTGTTGTAAAGCATCAGGATTCCCTACTGATGCCAGACTCGAAAGACAAGCAGACTCAGTGGGACTGTTTGTTGGTCTCTGGGGCTTTGGAGCTCAGACGGCATGTGGGTGAAAAGAACCCAGATAATTGAGAAAAGTGGGAAGGAAGTGACAGGAGAATCGAGTGTCTTAGGCTGGTGAGCCACTTAGCATTGTACAGTTAGTTGGGCCCTCACGCTGTAATGCAGGTAAACGAGGATGGACCCGACATGTACTGAGGGCTTACCAGACACTGTGCTCAAAAATGTGTGTGTGTTCCAATTTCACTGTATTCTTGATAGCAGTGATTATTCTCAGTTAGCCTTTGGGAGATGATCCTATGGGTGTAAAAAGCTAATATAAATGCTGATTCCTCATGTAAGATTTTCAAAGGATGTTCACATCTGCAGTGTGTGTAATGCATATGTGAAAATGGTCCACTCATGTTGACTATGTTAGAAAATTGAAAGATATTTTAATCCCTCAGTCCTAGGCCTCAAATGCATGGATTAAGTTCTAGTATTAATTTATATGCTGAAGAGCAGTTATATCTTTTCTTTTTTTTTTTTCCTTTTGAGACAACTGTGCAGTTCAGGCTGGCCTTGAGCTCACTTTGTAGCCCAGGTTGGTCTCGAACTTGCAACTGCTTCAGCCTCCCGAGTGCTGGGATTACAGGCATGCACCACCATGCCCAACAAATGGCAGTTATATCTGATGTAAAAAATTGTGACAGTTGTTTATATTATTATTATTATGTCTTTTTTTTTGAGACAGGGTTTCACTATGGAGCTCAGGCTGGCCTTGAACTCATTTTGTAGCCCAGTTGGCCTTGAACTCTTAGTGATCCTCCTGCCTCAGCCTCCTGAGTGCTGCGGTTACAGGCATGTACCACCATGCCTGGCTAATTGTGACAGTTTAGTCTAAAATACCAATTTGACTGCGGCTTTGATGGTTTTATTTGGTTCACTTCCTTACCTTGTTACTGTAACTCAATTTGTTTCCTTGGTGCTACAGGCGACTTCCACCCTGGATGTTCAAAACTGGCATTCAGTTGTGAGAAGCACTCTATCCCAAAGGCAGAGCTGGACAAAAAGCTTGCAGTGCCCTGCAGGGAGAAGGTTCCTGCATCTGAAGATGAGTTGGACTATACTATGGACAGCCTGCCAAGGGACTCAACGCCCGAGGCTAAACAAAGGACCAAAGAAACTGTCAAGGTTGGTTCTGAAGCCTGTGCATAGCACTGTGTGTGAGCACCGGGGATGGGGCGTGGTGTGGAAGGAATTCAAATGACACAAAGAGCTGTAGTGAATACCCAGCAAAATAGAGTTTCCACTGGCTGTCTGCGGGTCATGCAGTTGGCGAAGATGTCAAAAGACACAGTCCCTTGTATGTCATTGATTATGTTTTTGTATGTTTAAAAGAAACCAAGTCCACCAAAGAATAAAAAATGGATGAACCACTTACGAGTGCCACAGAGAGAACTGGAGCGACGTCAGCTTGCTAGAATGGAGAGTCGCAACCACTTCCTAAAAAACCCCCGTTTTTTTCCTCCTAACACTCCACATGGAGGCAGGTCGCTTATTTTTCCTCCAAAGAAGCCAGCGCTGATAGGAGAATGTCCAGGTGCAGAGCTAGAACAGAGGTATGTTTTCCGCTGATTTGTACTCTCAGAAAATCTGACCCTTTATAGTAAACCCCAGAAGGTCTTGAGCCTGCTCTGGCTGTGGAGGCTCCTAGACTTTTTTTCCCTTTTGTAGTTCTGGAGATTTAATCCAGGGCCTTCACACCGAGTTCTATCCCCAGCACCCTTCCTTTTTCATTTTGCTCTCTAAATCACTAAGTTGCCCAAGTTGGGCTTGAACTTGTGATCCTCCTGCCTCATCCTCCTAGAAGGCTGGGATTTCAGGTGTATTCCACCATGTCCACCAAAGTTCCTAGACTTTTGTGTGGTGGTGAGGAGGGAGGGTAGCAGTATCAGATCAGATCTTCAGGTCGCCTACAGATGTGACCTTTAGACATTCCCTAGGGTCCTGGGCTTATGCTTTTCAGATCGTTTGGGGTCAGAAATAGGGGAATAGAAAAATAGGGATTGGTATTAGCCCTTTTTGTGACATCTGAACAGTCTGGGTTAAATGAAGGAATCTTTTATAGGGTACATGGTTATACCAAGTACTCCTTCCATGACATTCATATGTCTGGGGTAACAGCAATGTTTAAAATTTGATTAGTTACAAATAATTATGTCAATTGTGACTTTTTAAAAAGAGAGTGCCTGGGGCTGGGGATTTAGCTCAGCGGCACAGCGCCTGCCTGGCAAGTGCAAGGTCTTGAGTTCAATTCCTGGTACTGGAAAAAAACCAAAGAAATAAAAAAATAAAAAGAGAGTGCCTTTGGCTATATTTCACTAATTGTCCTGACTAAAGAGAATGACTTGTTTCATGGGCTTGTAATTTTAATGGACTATTAATGCTTCTTTATTACACATTTGATATCTTTTTGTAAAGAAAGGACTTAATATTTGAAAATAAAAACCATATTAAAGCCCACCTAACATATTTATGTTTAAGCTTCCAGAATTTTTCCTATGTGTATTGGAAATTTTATATTTAGCTACATATAATTCCACAAAGATTGGATCATGACTTAAGGTTGTTTTGTAATCTGCTTAAACAAAAGCAGTGAAAAAGCTCCAAAGAATGCCATATTGTGGATATCTCTGATGGCTTGCGTGTATTTATTTTTGCTTTATTCAATCACTGCGTGGTATTTGTTGTGTAGCTGAAACTCACAGTCTTTTTCTCCCCTCTTCCCTCCCACAGTTGTGCCAATACTCCAGTGTTCCTAGCTAAGCCATCGATTGTGTTTTTCACAAATTATGAAATTGGACCAGTTTATGAGGTAGAAATTTTAATTCATTAAAGACCTTACCCCATTTCCTTTCTTATTTAAAAAAATCTTTATAATTTTGAGCCATATACAAAATTAAGGAAAAGATGGTAATAAACCCTCATAGACTCATTACCCAGCCTCAGCAGTATTGTACATTTTACAAATCTGGTTTCACTTGTTACAATTTCCATAGCTTCTTCCCGTGTGTGGCCCTGTGCCCATTTATGTGTGTTCTAGGGGAACATCTACAGAACACGCCATTCTTCAGTTATTACTTATGTAAACATCTCTAATAGTTAAGGACTTTTAGAAAACAACCTTAATACTATACTCACACTCAGGGATATGAACAGGGATTCATTAATGCCAACTAATATGTAACCCTATTGATCTTCCTCCATTTGATTAAGAAGTCAGTTGATTTGAATACTAAACATTGCGTTTGACTAAGAATAACTCTATTCTCCCTTAGTTGAGAACAGTTCTTCCCCCACACTCTGCTATTTATTTATTTATTTATTTATTTATTTATTTTTTTGGTTTTTCTCCGGTACCGGGAACCGAACTCACGACCTTGCGCTTGCGAGGCAGGCGCTTTTTGCCGCTGAGCTAAATCCCCAGCCCCTTCTGCTATTTAAAAATGCTATTTATTTGTTGAAGAAACTGTAATTTCTTGCTCCCTGGATTTGGCTAATTGCCTTATTATGGTGACATTAAACATGTTCTTTTATTCTCCATGTCACCCATAAACTGGTAATTAGATGGAGAGGTTTGGTTAGATTCAGATGCAATTCTTTTTCTCCTTCTTTCCTCTCCCCTTCTTTTCTTCTTCCCTCCCTCTTTCCCTCCTCCCCTGTTTTTTTCTCTCTCTTTTCCTTTCTTCTTCCCTTGTTCTCTTTTCTTTGGGATGGCGGGTCTCATTGTGTTGCCAGGCTGCACTTAGCTTCTGCACTCAAGCAATCCTCCTGCCTCGTCTCTCGAGTACTGGGACCACAGCTGTGCGCCACTGCACTGGACTTCACGTTTTTCTCTTTTTGTCAGAAGTACTTCTTGGTGGTGCTGATTATTTGTTACTGTACTGTGTGAGGAACAAGCATATCTAGGCTTTCTAGTACCTATGATGAATGGCTGAAGGTGTTGTTAGCCTGACTTACTCTTTATAAAATTCTTATCAACATTTCATTTAAAGGGTAGCAGCCTTAGATGATTGTTGCTTGCAACCATTTTTTAAAAATTAGAGGTCACAAAATGGTATTTCTAGTGTTGTTATTCATCTATATTTGTTAGCTGCAATTTTCTATTTAAAAACCTTTCCCTCAAATGTCTCTTCTTATCTCCTTTTCCCTATACTCTTTTACATAGTAGTGTAGCATTTTGAGTCTTCCTTTCCCCCCCTTTGGAGCCATAATCATACACTAATATCTCCTCTCACTACTCTCTTCTGCCTCTTAACAGTATATGCAGGGTTTTCTCTAAGGGAGATTTCCTTATACCTTTCCCCAGCTTTTTTCTTAATGCTGGCTTCCTACCATCCTGGGGAATCAGGTGCAGATCAAGGTTAGCAGCTGCCAGCTCCACTCACCAGCTGCAATGGCAAATGGACCTAATAACAACATCGCCCTCACGCACATATGGATTGTGCTTCACAGTAAAGAATGTATGCATATCCATACTATATAGAAACTTCTTGATCACTCATAGCAAAAGCAGATATGTATGCCAGTTCTATATCCTGAACGTTAAAGAAAACACTTTGTTCATTCTTTGAACTTAACAGTATCTTGTGGTGCCAGAATGCAAGAAGTGCTAAAAAAAGAGATGGGTGGTTGGGAGGCATCACAGGACAGAGTTCCAAGTGTTGAAAGAGGGAACAACTCAATCGACAAATTAAATAATGATGGCATTAGATTATAACCCAAAGAAATATCCGTGAGTGCTTAGTGATGTAAGTAAATGCAAGAGTCAGCAAGTAAGTGAGGGTGAAGGGACTGTCACTGTTTCAGAATTCTGACTAATACAGAAAACAGAAATGTAAGTCATTATTGAATATCACAGCAGTAATTTCTTCAGGCAACAATGTTCCAATGGATGCTAAAATTAAGGGTATAAATTTCAGCAGAAACAGATAATTGCGTAATCTACCCCCCAAATTTAGTAATTATGAAAAGAAAAATAATAACTGTACAACAGAGAACCCTGGCAGACGCCACTTTAAACAAGCAATTAAAGTTAACATCACAACTAAGAAGACACATCAACCCTTCCTACCCCTACTATGACACAGTGAGAAGAGGATAGCACCACTATGGTGCTTTTGCCAAGAATGTATAACTTCAATGTAACCCTCAGAATTGAAGGACATATTACAAAATAACTGTTCAGCAGTCTTTGAAGGTTGGAAGGTCATTGACAACAAGGAAAAGCTGAGGGAAGAATTGTCACAGGTTGGAGGAGACTAAGAAGGACAGGATTTAACAATAAGGGCTTTAGTGTCCAATGTGGTCTCATTTTTGGATGCCACTTTAACATGGGTTGTATAGCAACATTTAAACCCTTAAATGTCACACAGTAGAGGAGGGCAAAATATATAAGGGCAATTATAAATATTAAAAGAGACATTTGAATCCTATTTCGTACATAATTTTTTTGGTTAGTATAGATCTAATCAAGAGACTACATCTTAAGGATCTGTTCAGTTTTGGTTAACTACTTGTTTCTTTCCTCCTTAAATAATTGGTTGTTTCATCCTTTTTTTTGGTTTTGTTTTTTTTCTGGTACTGGGAATCAAACTCTCAACCTTGTGCTTGCCAGGCAGGCGCTGTGCCGCTGAGCTAAATCCTCAGCCCGCTGTTTCATCCTTTTCAAAGTAAGGGTTTTGGTACTATAAAGTGTGTAGACTTCATTTTGTTGGTCAGTATTCAAGGACACGTGCAGTGTTTAGAACCACTCTGGATAAGGAAATAGGTCATCTACCCTAAACTAAGGCATTTCATTTGCTGCCAGTGTTCATTCTGATTCTGCAAGCATCCCAGACTTGCCCAGTAGGAGCCTCAGGAGTTGTCCCTGTGTTCTGTGATACAACCTAGCATTGTTTCAGGGCTTACTCAACCTCTGGCATTATGAGATGTTCCAGGCTTACCCTACATACTTTTTTTCCTTTCAGTTTTTGACTCAGTTTTCTAGAAGCTCTGGTTTCTTTTAATAGAGAATAGTTTTGAAATCAAGAGCTAAGCACTTGGTCTGCTCACTGGGATATAATTGCTTCCAGAGGTTTTCAACAAACAGGTGGGGAGGAATGTCATTTTCACAGATTTGACTATACACGTGTGTGTGTGTGTGTGTGTGTATACATACATGCACACATATGTATAAATAGACCTATGTAGATAAACTTATGAATTCCTATGATAACTCTAATTACAACTGTAATTCTACAGACCTTCCTCCATTCCATGCTTATACCTCCCTTCTTCCACAGTCATCAGAAGAATGTTGGAATAAAATTCTTTTTTTTTTTTTTTTGGTTTTTCTCCGGTACCGGGAACCGAACTCACGACCTTGCGCTTGCCAGGCAGGCACTTTTGCCGCTGAGCTAAATCCCCAGCCCCTGGAATAAAATTCTTTTCTAGAAATCTTCTGTTTCTGGGCATTTTGGCACACAACAGGGAGAGCTCTCCAGGGTGACTGGATGTCCAGTTGCAGGATACTAAGCACTTATGCACCGGGAGGCATATATTCCTGATGTCTTATGTTCTGATACTTAAGAACATTATTTGTGATTAAGAATACTTGATTGAAAAAAACAAACAAACAAATACTTGAAATGATCCTTTATCACATGGTTTTAAGAGCAATTTTCATTAGTGTCTCTTTTAATATATTCAGTGCTCTGGTTTCTGTAGCCATGAGATAAGCTGATCCAAGCCTTAGTAGTGGGTGACAAATAGCCTCTGCTTGCTGAGCAGATAGGACACCACAGGGGTCTCTGCTGTATAGTACCTGGAGCCTCAGACAGAAGATGGGGCGAGTGTGGGGTGAGGTGGAGGTGGAGGTGGGGTGGGAGTATCTGAAGTCTCATTCATTCCCCCGTCTTGAGGTTGTTGCCAGCTCTCAGCTCAGACCTCAGCTTCCCTGCGAGCCTCTCCCTAAGGCTTTTCCACATTGGTCAGCTTGGGCTTCTCCTGAATACAGTCACTGGTTTCCCCAGCCCAAGCCTCTCCAAAAGGGAAGGCAGAATATAAGGACACACACACCCCTTATCGACTGGGCGTGACAAGGCTCTAGAAGAGCATGTTTGAACAGACATATTACTGTGGCTATTTTTGGGAAATACAATCTGCCATAGTCTATTATATAGATTTAATTATATCTAGTGAGACCTCCTGGAAATGTACCTTTTGTCTTTTGGGCTGTGCACATAGCAGTTATTAACCAGCTACACTATAAAGTTTAAGCAACCAGTCAAGATTAGAAGATGTCAAATTTTCAGTCTTTAAAAATTTATGTCCCGTACATGCTTTCTAGGAAGCTCCCAGGGAACACTCTCCCTGAGTGGACATGAGTAAACCAGGAAAGAAGAGGACGTGAAGTATGGGAATAAGAGATCCAGTGCAGGCAGTGGTGAAGGAACGACAGGGTTAATACTTGTTAAAGTATTTTGCAGTTACTGTTGCTGGGAAACCAGTTTCTCTGAAGCTTTGCTACCATTTTATCATGCTTACAGATTCTTTGTGTCAGAAATTCAGATAGAGCACAACGGGAGTGACGTGTTCCACAGTGTTTGAGATATAGCTGGAAGGAGTCAGCGCTTTCCAGGGTGACTTGAAAGTTTGGGAGCTGGAACGGTCTGAAGCACTTTCCCTCACAGGGGAGCTGGTGCAGAGGTGGTCTGCCAGAGCACCTAAATAGAGCCTCTCTAAGTGGTCTGGGCTTCCATACAGTGTGGTGGCCTCAGGGTTATCAGACTTCTTCCATGGCAACTCAAAGTAAGAATTCTAGCGAGCATGATGCATCACTTTTTATGACCTAACCTTGGGAGCTACATAACACTGCTTGCTGTGGGTTTTAAGCAAGTCACTAAATTTGGCCCACATTCAAGGGACGGATACCTAAATAGCATCTACCTTTGACATATGCGAGAAGTGCCAAAGAATGTGTGGATGTGTCTTAGAACTGCCAAGTGCTTTATCTTACTTGATAGTTTATTAGCTGGTGTGGTGGGCAACTAGCCAAGATTATAAAATGTTCACAAGGCTCTAGGAGAGGTTAATTTATACAGGTGGCCTTGATAAGATTCCCTGATACATCTGGACATCTGGGGAAGAGATTTGTAGAGTAGTGGAGGACTGAATTATTGATAAGTACACAGCAAGGATAATAATTAGTTGATTATTAGCCTCAGGAAAGTAAAAAGTTGTACAAGGGAGGGGAAGGAATTGCTGTATGTCTTCTGGTCAACTGACACGGTAACTGTAGTGTAAATGTTAATTCTTGATCTAGCCAGGAATACGACAGACAGGAAGGGTCTGTTATCCAATTAGGCTGAATCGGATATGGGTGAGGGAAGAGAGTGTCCATATTATCTGTCCATAATTAGTGTTAAAAGTAAAGTAGTGTGCTATTTGGAGACATAGAAGTAAATACCAAAACAAGAGAGAAAAAGTATCCTTGGAGAGTGGGAGGTGGCAGGGTGGAGTCCAGGGGAAAGGGAAGGATTTCTATTTTCAAAACCTTGTACAACTCTCTGCCTTTTTAAACTAAAAGGCTGTTCAGCTATGATGAAAATAACTTGCAAAGAACTTTCCACAAAAACCAAAACCTAAAACAGGCATAGAATAATTTTACAAACATATAGTATCAAACATTCAAGCTAATCTGTATTTTATATACATTGTTTCATAGACTGGAAAAAGAGGGAGCCATCCTCATTATTCTCCTAATATTACCCTCACTAAATCAAAAGCCATGAGTCATTCTTACTTAAGAACATAGGTACACAAATAGTAGGTAAAAAACAGGAAACCAAATCAAACAGGAATTAAAAAAATACACATACAGCCCCGTGAGTAACTGAGGAATGCTAGGAATGTCTTCACTGGGCAAGGGGAGGGATGGGGGTTAAAGTGAGGTTGAGATGGCAGCCCTAGCTGCCCTAGCCTGTGATTTTCCCTTCCAAGGCTTCTGGGGTTGTTAAGGAAAGCCAGTCAGTCTCCCCTACATTCCTAATTACCACTGCCTCAGACCTTGAAGCCACCCAAGTTACCATACATTCTGCCTAGATGTCTGCCTGACCACTGGTGGAAGCGTTAATAATTGTGATGCCTCCACACCAGGGTCCTCATACCCTACTTCCTGCCTGCTGTTCTTCATTTCCACCACACTGGTGAGTAAGTGAACGCTAGAATCTCATCCTAAGAGTCTTCTGGCTGAGGATCGTCTGGTACTGACTACCATAGTCCAGGTTCCCCATAAAGCAGAGCCTGAAATAGCAAGATTATTTACTATCCTTTACCGTTCAAGTGACGCAGGAGAGAAAAGAGATGGAAGAGAAAGAGCTTTATGAGAAGGTGTTATTGAGCTGCCCACCATTAAGTGCAATTGACTGTTTCGTCTTGTGGGACGGCCCCTAATAAGCTTATACACCCCTGGTTCTTGCCTTTCATTAGCTAAAAGTTTTCCTTGTGTGGCTGGAAGCCAGGCTTGCCTCAGCTGAAGTGAGGAGCAGCTGCTTTTTGAACATATCACAATATAATGACAGCAGTGACTATAACTAGCTCTAGTGAGGGATCAGTATGTACTCTTCTAGGGCTAGTCCATGCATGTGTGTAGACCTGAAGATAGAAAACTGAGTTTCATCTTCTGCCATCTAGAAAATACTCCCTACTCCCCACCACAGAGTTGCCAGAAAGATCTCAAGGTAAAAGAACAGCACTGTTAGAAAAAAATCCAACATATAGGAAGTATGGAAAGACTTTTTGTAAGACTGAAGCACAAACCATAAATGGTTGACACATTTTATATGAAAATTGCAGAAATGACCTGAGCACATATGAGACCCTGGGTTGAGCACCAATGAAATCAAATAAATATTTTTAGAAACTACATCAAAAGATAATACAATTTTATAAACTTGGAGGTGTTTATAATGCCTACCTTATAAAGAGTTAATATCAGCCAGGTCTATCCTTTACCGTTGGCATATGCCTGTAATTCCAGCACTCAGGAACCTGAGGCAGGAGGATTGCCATGAGTTCAAGGCCAGCCTGAACTACATAGTGCGACCTTGTCTCAAAAAAAATTAATATCCAGCATATATAAAGAACTCTTATAAACCAATAAGAAGACAGACTATACAACAGCAAATTGTAAGAGGATGTGAACAGACAACTTATAGAAGAGAAAACCCAAAGAGCAAATAAACATATGAAAAGATGCACACCATCATTAATAATAGAGAAGTGAAAATTAAAATGATGAAATAGTACTCTCTCAATTTTGACCCTGTTCAAAGATGGCTTGGTACAAAAGGTTGTGATGGAAAAAACAAATTTAAGGGTTTGAGGGTCTAGCTCAGTGTTACAGAACTTGTTTAGCATGCAAAGGTCCCAAGATTCCATCTCTAGTACTGCAATAAAAGGTTTTTAAAAAGGGACTTAAATGCTTATTTAGGAGTATATATCTAAGAAAAGTGTGAAGGCATATTTCAAGTTTGTATAGACATTATCTAATGAGTGGCTGGTGGAGGGCTTCAAATGCATATCTAATGTTTTATTTCTTAAACCAGGTGATGGAAACATGGCTTTTATTCTGTTATAATTTGTACCCATTTCTGGTATGTTTCACAAAATAGAAGCAATAGATGTGTATCTACTTTGAGTTCCTCTCCTTTGCTGCGAACTTCTCTTCTTTGCTAGTGGGTGGTGTTGTGGAGTTAATTCCAGGCCTTGCCTTTAGAGGGATTTTCTGCCTGGAGCAGGGAGAAGAGAAGATGGGGTTTAATCCGAGCTGGGTAGTTGAGTCATAGAGAGAGCCCCAGTTATAATACAGTGTCTGGGCCTATGGAAAGAAGGCCAAAAGTGATATGCGGAGAAGAGGACAGTAAGTGAGGTGAAGTTGGCAGAACTCTGGAGCCAGATGTCCTGGGCTCAAATCTCAGCTCAGCAGCTGAGGATCTTTCTTGGTCTTCAGGCTCTTCAGCTGTTAAGTAGAAGCAGTTCCCTCTTTCTCAGTTTTGAGAGCCACTGGGGCACAGAGGCGGAGCTACATAGATTGTGTGGTGAGCCCTCTGTTATTTGCAAGTTCCACATCTATGGCTTCAACCAACAGTAAACTGAAAATATTTACAAAATCCAAAAAATTCCAACAAACAAAACTTGAGTTTGCTGTTGAGGCGCTATGTTGAATCCTCCTGGAGGAAGGACGTGTCGGTGTGCCCTGCCACAAGAAACCACCATTTCACTTGAATATGTTTCATCTGGAGTCTGGTTGATGTCCTGGTTAGGCTCACAATGTTTATCTGTACTGAACACGTATGGATTTTCCCTTGTCATTATTGCTTAAACAATATAGTAGATTATTTCTATTCTATTAGCTGTTATAAGCAATCTAGATTGTTTAAAGTAAGGGAGGATGTACATAGGTTATATGGTAGAACTGCATTGTTTTTTTTAAAAAATTTTTTGTCTTTTTGAGACAGGGTCTCACTATGCAGTTCAGGCTGGCCTTGAGCTCACTTTGTAGCTCAAGCTGGCCTTGAACTCGCAACGATCCTCCTGCCTCAGCCTCCTGAGTGCTGGGATTACAGGCATGCGCCACTACACCCCGCTGTTCTGTTTTTTGTAAGAGACTTGAGCATTTGTGGATTTAGGGAATCTTCTGGGGTCCTGGAACCAATCCGCCCTGGATACTGAGGGACTGTAGTTGTTATTCTAAGCAATAGAACAAAGAATAGGTCAGATCTACTCCTACCATTATTTTTACTTTGTATTTTAGCTTATACTATGGAAACATCTCCAAACAAACAAAAATGTAGAATAGCATAATGAATCTCCATGTTCCCGTCATTAATTACACAGCTTTAATGCTTACCATGAGGGGCAAAGCATATTTCATTTATGCCTCTTCCCTCTTTCCATATTACTTAAAGTAAATGTCAGACATCATAGCACTGTGTCCTTGCTTTTTTGAGGTGCGGGGAGGTTCTCACTATGCAGTTCAGGCTGGCCTTGAACTCACTTTGTAGACCAGGCTGACCTTGAACTTGTGGCAATCCTCCTACCTCAGCCTCCTGAGTGCTGGGATTACAGGCATGTGCCACCATGCTCAGTAGCACTGTGTCCTTAAATGTCACTAAGAGAGATCACCTTTCCCTTTTGGACAGATGGTGATCACGCTACAGAATACTGCTGCATCCAGCCGCTACCTGCGAGTCCTCCCGCCTTCCACTCCATACTTTGCTCTGGGGTTGGGTGAGTTCAGCGAGGTATCTTTTTAGCCTCAAGACTATGTGGTGGATTAGCTGCAGTTACTGACCCCTGCAGCCCTGTTGACTGCCCTTGTCTTGAGCTCATCCTCTTCTCCCTCACCAGTTGCTGGGGACCTGCCCTCCTCCCAGTGAAGACCTACCATCTTGACAGCTCCTCTTCCTGATCCCCGCTCCAGGCACTGGTTCTGCCATTTCCCCCTTCGTGCTATCACTGCCCGTGGTCAGGTCCTCCCCAGTGCTCACTTCACCGTGCCAGTCTCCAGCCAGCCTTCCAGCTTCCATGCCAGTGTTTGTCTCAAGAGCAACTCCAGCCCTGTCTCTCTGCTCAGAAATCTCAAAATACTCTGCTGCCCATGAGATAAATTCTAAGCCACAGGGCCAGGCATGGCTCTACTTAACCATTGCAGATGGACCATCTCACTCCCCTTTGGGCCCTGGTGTTCTTCCTGGAGTCCCTGCCCTGTAAGTCTGCCCCCAGCACACCTGGTGGTTCTGTTATTTGCCTGACCTTGGCGCAAAGGCATTGACTCACACAGCCAGCTCCCGCTGTGCTTGCCCTGTGAGGCAGCTGAGCCCAACCCCGTGAGTACTGTTCCCCATTCTCATCGGTTGCTTTTGTCACTCACAGGGATGTTCCCAGGCAAAGGTGGAATGGTGGCTCCTGGAATGACCTGCCAGTACACTGTCCAGTTTATTCCTGATTGTCTTGGGGATTTTGATGATTTCATTTTAGTTGAGACCCAGTCAGCTCACAAGCTACTGATCCCCCTGCAGGCCCGGAGACCACCCCCTGTGCTGACCTGTGAGTTTGCATTACACCTTACTCAGGGATCAAGTCAGAGTTGGAGAGTCTCCATAAGGACAGTCTGCCTCTCAGGGCTTTTCGGTAGCAGCATAGAGCTTGGTCCTCTTGCGCAGGGACTTCAAGGTGCTAAGGAGCAACCTGCTAGCTGCTTCTGCACCCTGTCCCAGTGTCAGGTCCCAATCTTCTGGTTTGCATTTGGTTTTCCCAGTGGAGGCTGATGCAGCAGGGGAGGAGGCTGCAGCCCAGCTAACTCCAGCGCAAGTATTGCTGGTTTGCGAACACCTCTGAGTGGCCTGTGCTATGAGGAGGCAAGGATGCCGAGCTGGGGCACTCTGAGGAGTCCGTGGTAGATGCTGCCTCCGTGGCTGGCGGTGGGGTGGGGGGGTCCTGGGAAAAGGTGCTTCAGCTAAGCCTCAGTGATGAGCCCCTTCAGCTGGGCACAGTGGAAGTTGGACTCTGATCCTTCTTAGTTCTGCCACAACCCCTGGGTCATGCTGGTCTTGGCTGAGTTCACAGTGGCTACTGCCTCTCACTGCTTTATCCAGGAGTGGATGGAGTCGCATGTGGCCCAGCAACAGCCAGGGCAGAGCCCAGGTGTACGGGGCTCAGGCCACGTCCCCATTCATTCTTTCTGCTCTCGGTGCTCAGCAGGGGCCCTTACCTCATGCCACAGCTGCTCTGAGCCCTGGCTGAAGTTCAGGGGAACAGGGACAACTGGGTCCAACCTGAGTGACATGTTGTCTTCTTCCACATCTTTTCTGTGGCTGCAGTGTCACCACTACTGGACTGTGGTTACTGCCTCATTGGAGGAATAAAGATGATCAAGTTCATGTGCAGAAATGTAGGCTTCAGCGCTGGCAAATTCCATATTATGCCCAAAGAGATCTGGCCGCCAATAAGTTTCACGGTGAGTGATCATTTGTTGCTACCTGAAAAAAAAGTAAGTCCATCAAAGGAAATAACACCCTGGAGTGAGATGCTAGATAGTGCCAGGACTGGAAACACTGGACAAGAGAATGTTGTTAATCTGTGTCCAACTGCCAGGTCCCGGTGAGGATGAATATATATGGAGTCCAGGACGATAACTCTGGTGCTTGCCACTAACACTGGCTTGATCCTAGGCAGGTGTCTAACCTCTGTTACCCTTCAAGGCCTGGCTCAAGTGTGACTTCACTCACTCGTGTACTCCCTCATTATCATAACAAATGTCTGATTATATCAGAGGCCACAGATTGGCAGCTCTTTGGCTGAATTTTGTTGGTATTTATTTGGCACAGTGCTTAAAAAACATGTTTGAGCCAAGCCTTAAAGTGGGGAGGTTTCACGTATACACCTGCAATTCCAGTCTCTGGAAAACTGGAAGCTGTGCAAGCCTGGGCCAGGACTCACTATGACCCTGTTAGCTGGAGCTGGTGGTAGGGCCTGTGTGCTTGGTCCTCTTGCCTGGGCTCTACCACTGCCAGGCAGCCCCAGTCTGACACCAGAATATTCTGATCATCAGAATATACGGTTATTTATCTTATAGTAGGGAAAATCCTCTGAATCCTTATGTCCAGAGCTTGTAATAGAGTCACAGGACCACGCGATCTAAGAAACGCATTTCACTCGTTTCTGTTACCTGCCAGGGTCCTGTAGGCCTAGGTTCGTGTTCTCTTTGTAGGGACTGGGGTTGCAGCTCTGCTAACAAGATGACAGCTGCCCTCATGATTCAAGAACTCATTATAGCCAAGGGTGCACCGGTAATGGAGGCAGACATATACACTAGCACCACTGACCCAGGGTGCTGAGGAGGAAAAGGAAGTTGTGCTTTGGGAGAACCTTCTTATTTTTTGCTTTCATCCCAAACACTTGGCAATGGCATCCTTTGCACCTCCTGCTAGGAGTTAGCTCTTTACAGGTTCTCTGTGACTTAGTTGTCCTTAACCTTCATGACTCCTCTGGTGTTTGGTAAAGGTCAGTAAATGTGTGCTGATGAGTGAGCTATAATTTCTTCATTGACTTGGAACTGGATGATCCTTAAGAGCCTTCAAATACCAAAATAAATATTAGGAGAAGATTTTAATTTGAGCCCTGGGTCTTATAATTTCTTGCACACCATTATGTAATGTTCTGCTTTTCTTTAAGGCTGTTTCAAGCACTGGTTTTGTTGGACGACCTCCTTTTGGAGTCAGGCCTTCCATGTTTGAGCTGGCCCCGGGGCTTTCCATGTTACTGGAGGTAGGTGACCAGACATTGGCATATATTCCTTCCTTTTTATGACTGCTCATGTCTCTGCCCTCAACTACTACGTGAAAACATTTGCTTCTGTGTTTTCATAACCGAGCATCTACTCCTATCCCAGGTCCCAGCTTTAGTGGACTCTAGATAGGTGCGTATTCTTGCGTTCTACAGGGTGATCTCATTTCATTACCTTCTGATTTCTCTCACAAAGCAAATGCAGACAAACCTAGCATTTCCATCATGAGGTCTAAATGTTGCTTGTCCATATTATTATGGGAGTGACCTAAGGAAACAAAGAAGGTAGCAACAAAACTCTTTGGGAAGCAGTGAGAGAATTGGGCAGGTTTCCCTCTTTCCATTTGTTATATATTTTTTGGCTTGTGTTTTAAAATTTATTCATATTTCCAAATAATAAATAAATTCAAATGGTTACAAATCAAAAAGATGGAAATAGGTAAGCAGAGAAGTGCTTCCTTTCCTTTCTATTCCCCACCCCCATGCCAGTGGCCACCCACACCCTGACCAGTTTTCTGTGGGCCCTTCCAGGGATATTTTAGGTAAAATAAGTGACTGCACATGGGTTTTTCTTTCACATACTCTGTTCTGCACTATATATTTGCTGTTTAACATTGTCTTAGAGATCATTCTCATGTTTTTTACAACTGCAGAGTATTCTACCACGAGTGAACCATAATTTAGCTTTTTAGTCCCCTACTGATAGGCATGAAGATGTTACAGCTTGTATCTAGATGTCCCCTCAAAGCCTCATGAGTTCATAGGTGGGGTTTTTGGGAGAAGGCTGCATCATGAGTGTGTGATACTGTGATTAAGGATGTGTGATAACTAAATTGGTTTAGCATAGTTCTGGGTGTTGATAATGGAAGGTCCACCTTGGATGTGGATGACACCAACAGGCTGTTGTGGTTTGTGTCTAGATGTCCCCTCAAAGCCTCATGCAGTCATGGGGCAGGCTTCTAGAGTTTGTGATTCATTCACAGTCCAGTACTGGGATTATGGGTGTGAGTGCTACACCCACCCTGGGCTGGGCAGCCTGCATACAATATGAGGGAAGGAAAGAGGCTTGTTCTCTGCTGCTTCTCCTTTTTTGCTTTTGTTACTTTCGTGGTTTTCTGCCCCCATGAACCATTGCCCTCTGCCGTGTGCCACTCTGCCTTGGAGCCAGCCAAGTATGGACTGAAACCTCCACAAACTGTGAACTAAATAAACCTTTCCTTCCTTAATTCTGGGCATTAGGTATTTTGTCTCAGCAATGAGAGAAGAGTAACCATAGGCTTATAAGTTGGATGAAATATAAAGGGACAAGAAGAAGTCAGGCTCACTGTGTGCTGCTTGCTGCCTTTCTGCATGCCATGCTATGAACTATTTCTCCTCTGCTATAGCTCCCAGCCTTGGGGCCAGCTGCCTATGGACTGAAACCTCTACAGAATGTGAGCTAAAATAAACCTTTCCTCCTTGAACTTGTGGGTGTCGGATATTTTGATTCAGCAACAAGGAAGTAACCGACAAGATTTTTTTCCCCTAATCTTGAGATATTTCAGCAAATAACTTATACATACATCACTCTATCCAAGTATGAGTCTAGCTGTAGTATTGTCTCTGAAGTGGACTTGTAGATTTTGGAGTCCATGCTTTCATAGTGGTGAAACAAGTTGCTAAAATCCTCACCATGTGCACTGTACCAGATCATACCTCTAACAATATATATTCATGCCTGTTTTCTTACACCCTTGCCGTACAATGTGTTATCAAAACTAACAGCATTATTATCATGGATGGTTTTAAGCATACACAAAAGCAAAGAGAATAGTTTAATGACCTCTCTTGTACTTCTCAGCTTTATCAACGAGCAGCTCTTGGGCAATTATATTACATGTACACTCTTCATATCCTTCAGCCAACTTCCACTCTGCCTCTCTAGATTATTTTGCAGAAAATCAAGATGTAACATCAATGCATTTATCAGAACGAAATTAGACTGTTGAATTAGACTGTTGTCTCATACCATATTCAAAATTCAATTCAAAATGGATTAAAAGGTTATATATAAGGCTTGAAACTATAAAACTACTAGAGGAAAACAGGGAAAGCTCTAGCAAACAAAAACAATGGTAGCAAAAGTGAAATGGAATTACTAAAAAGCTTCTACACAGCAAAGGAAACAATCAACAGAGTAAAGAGATGAGCTGTGGAATGTAGAAAATATTTGTAAAACCTACAGCTGGTAAGGAGTTAATATCCAAAGTACGTAAAAAATGTAGACAATACAATTGCAAGAAAACAATCTGGCTTTAAAAAGGGCAAAGGATCTACATAGACATCTCTTTAAAAAAGACAACAAATGACCAACAAGCATTTGAAAAAATGTTCCATGTCACTCCTCAGGGGCATGCAAATTAAAACCACAGTGAGATATGTCATGTCTGTTAGGATAGCTGTTATCCAAAAGATGACAGATAACAAGCATTGATGAAGATGTGGAGAAAAGGGAACACTTGTACACTGTTGGTGGGAATGTAAAGTAGTGCCGCGATTACAGAAAATAGTGTGGAGGTGTCTCAAAAAAAATTAAAACTAGGGGCTGGGGATTTAGCTCAGCGGCAAAGCGCCTGCCTGGCAAGCGCAAGGTCGTGAGTTCGGTTCCCGGTACCGGAGAAAAACCAAAAA